AACAAGGAATCATTCGACCTTCCACTTCTCCATGGTCTTCCCCTGTTTGGGTTGTCCCAAAAAAATTAGACGCTTCTATGAAACAAAAATGGCGCGTAGTCATCGACTATCGCAAACTAAATGAAGTCTCTGTCGACGATAGATACCCTCTTCCCAATATTTCCGATCTCTTAGACCAGTTAGGCAGATGTCAATATTTCAATACTTTGGACCTAGCCTCTGGGTTTCACCAAATTGAAATTGATCCCAAGGACGTTGCTAAAACTGCATTTTCAGTTGAAAATGGTCATTTTGAATTTCTCCGTTTACCCTTCGGACTAAAAAATTCTCCATCCACTTTCCAACGTGTCATGGACAACATTCTCTTAGGTCTTCAAAACGAACGATGTCTCGTTTACATGGACGATATTATCGTTTATTCCGCTACCATATACGAACATATACAAAGGTTAACTGATGTCTGCAAACGCCTTCGTGGTGCAAACCTCAAACTCCAACCTGACAAGTGTGAATTTCTTCGAAAGGAAGTAGCTTATTTAGGGCATCTTGTGACCCCAGATGGAGTCAAACCCAACCCTGAGAAAATAGACGCTATTCAAAAAATTTCAGAACCAAAATCACCAAAAGACATTAAATCCTTCCTTGGTTTAGCCGGTTACTACCGACGTTTTATCCCCAATTTCTCTAAGATCTCAAAACCTTTAACTAGACTTCTCCAAAAAGACACACCCTTCGTATTCAATTCAGAATGCAAAAATTCATTTAATGAGCTTAAAAACGCTCTAATACGTGACCCAATACTCATTTATCCAAATTTCGAGGAAACTTTTGTCCTAACCACCGATGCCAGTGCATTTGCCATTGGTGCAGTTCTTTCACAAGGTCCAATTGGAAAAGACCTTCCCATAGCATATGCCTCTAGAACTCTATGTAGTGCAGAGACGAAATATTCAACTATAGAACGGGAACTTCTCGCCATAGTATGGGCAGTTAAACACTTCCGCCCTTATCTGTTCGGAAGAAAATTTACTCTCGTTACTGATCATCGTCCTTTAACTTGGCTATTTTCGATAAATGATCCTGGTAGTCGTTTAGCTCGATGGCGTCTTAAGCTTGAAGAATACGACTATACCATTGTGTATAAGCCCGATAAAATAAATAAAAACGCAGACGCTTTATCCCGTGTTAAAATTAACCATATTCAAGATTGTGTCGATCTCCAAAAGAAAATTTTTATCCTTGCACCTAATAACGATGACATTCACAACCGACCATCCACAAGTAAAGAAGAAATCGTTCACGATGACAATTCTAATAATTCAGATATCGAAGACGACACAGCGGAAGTTACAGAAGAATACAACAACTTCGCATACCTTCATAAAACCACATCCCTTATAGATTATTCCAAAATAGAAACCTCTAATTCGCAACTTCTCGACAAAAACCACAAAGATATTGTCACTTTCTTTTGGCAATCAAAACTTGATGATTTGCATAACAAAATAATGGACGATATTTTTGAAGAAGATATAAATTTTACGTTTAACAAAATTAACATTTTAGACCAATACCATTCAGGAAAAAATAATTTACATCGCGGAATCAACGAAACAGTTAAGCGCATAAAGCAAAAATACAATTGGCCAACCTTGACCAAAGATGTCGAAAACTATATTAGAAAGTGCGAAATATGTCAAAAAGTCAAGATCTATCGTAAAAACCTCAACACACCATTAGTTATCACAGAAACTCCTAAAACTCCTTTTGAGCGCATTAACATCGATATTTTCGAATTCCCAGTTCGTAATTACGCCCTTACCATAAGAGACGAACTCACAAAATTCACCCAGGCATATCCAATAAAACACAAAAAAGCTTCTACAATCGTTACTACCCTTCTTCTCTACTTCCAACATTTTGGAACTCCTCTTAGAATACATTGTGACCATGGCCAGGAATTTGATAAATCCCTCGTCAAAGATCTTTGTCTTTTGTACGATATAAAGTTAACTTTCTCCAGCGTTAGCCACCCACAATCTAATGGATCACTAGAAAGATTCCATGCCACGCTCACAGAAATGATCCGAGCTCATAAAGCCGAAAATCCAAAAGAACACCCCTTTCATGCTCTTCCATACGCAATAATCTGCTACAACAACACAAAGAATAAAACACATGGTTTTTCCCCTTATGAACTAATATTTGGGCACACTTCTAGTAGGCCTCCAGAAATTCTGTATAATGAAAAACAACTCATCACCAAATACATCCGAGACCTAAATAATCGCATGCAGCATTATTACAGAGTCGCGCTTACCCGCACTGATCAACAAAAACAAAAATCCAAAGTAAGATTTGATCAAGCAATCTCTAGAAATATGACTAAATATAATGTAGGAGATAAAGTTTATGTTAAGGAAACTCAAATTAGCGATAAAGCTCAGAATAAATTTAACGGTCCGTATGAAATTCTTGAAGTATTTGAAACTTCAGCCACTGTCAAAAATTTAACTACCGAACAAGTTTCAAAATTCAATTTTGACAAGTTTAAACCTTATTACGATTAGATTAAATTTCTTTCAGGATCTTGGGACTGATCTCTACAGTCGCACCCCAATTCCTCATTACTCCAGTAAATAATACAGTAGGCATCTTCTACCATGAAGAAAGTAGTTTAAGAATATCCAACAACAAATGGACGCTGCTAGTATATAAGAAACTAGAACCTCTGCGAGAAGCCATACGACATAATAATAAAATACTTTCCTCTCTCACAGAAATGTTAGACGATTCTTCTCCTCGGATGACAGTCTTCAAAACAAGTATCCAAACTCATTTTAGTCTTCTAACCAGAATTGCTGACTCAGTCGAAGAAAAATTTTCAGAAATTACTATCGACACTGAAAATTTTAATTTTAGAACTAAACGCGGTTTAATTAACGGTGTAGGAACTATTTTTAAATCAATTACCGGAAACCTAGACTCTACAGACGGCGAATACTTTAATGAATGCATAGATAAAGTAACTAAAGACGAACACGAAATCGAAAAGCTGTTAAAAAATCAAATATCGGTTACATCATCTGTTATAAAATCTTTTAATTCTACAATTCAAAGTTTCCGAATCGACGAAGAAACTTTCAATCAGGATCTAACTCAAATTCAAAAATCTCTCTATGATATTTCGGACACCGTAGCATTTTACGAAAGTCAAATTAAAACACTTAATCTTTGCGAAAGCCTTATGGAAAGTTATGTATACCTAGAGTCTTACCTCAGCGATATATTAAACGCAATCACGTTCGCACGAATCAAAGTTTTACATAGTTCTATTATTTACCCACGAGATTTAGTCATTTCTCTTCAGGAAATTTCAAAATCCTTGACAAAAAATAATTTACCACTACCACCCTATACTTCGAGCATTGCAAGGTATTGTAGATATTATGGAGCTAAAAGCATTTCAAACCGAAAATAAAGTTGTTTTTGTACCAAGAATACCCTTAATTGAGCCTGAAATATACACATTGTATCGTGTTTTACCTATTCCAATTTTGGACAATCGAACACGATTATTTCATATAATTCCATCAACAATAAAATATATTGCGCGTGATGACGATTCTTTACTCTATGTACTACCTGAAGATCTAAAAAGCTGCAAACAAATTCGCGGTAAAGAAAGAATCTGTTTTAACTTAATGCAATATCCCATCGATAGAGAAGCCCTTTGCGAAGCGCAGTTGCTTAGACATTCCGATCGTGTTCCTGTTACATGTCAATCTTCAATCGTCTTGGCCTCCGATTACAATGTTATAGAAATCGACTTTAATTATTGGTTAATTACCGTATCCGAACCACTACCAATCTCCATTAAATGTGGAAAAAGAGACCTCGTAGCCGAAATGTTAAAAACTAATTCTTTACTTAAACTACAAGCAGATTGCAGTGCATTTATTGGAAGCTCCAGAGTACGAGCTAAATACTTTGTCGAAGAATATAAGAACGTGACCTACAAGAGCCACGCCGTGGAGATTCCATATGATTGCTGTTCTCACATTCCAGAGAAGTTTCAACCCCCAGAGTTGAAACCCTTGAAGCTAAGTAAGATCGACACCGACGACCTTAATTAGAATTAGAATTAAAATTAGAAAACCTACTTCATCAACCAACCCTTCAGAAACATTCTCACTGGCTGACAATTATTTCGATTATTTTAATGACTGTTTTAGTACTTTGCTATTTCGTTTGCAAGTGCCGGAGAAAGAAACCGACAACACTCAGCATCGCCGATGGTAACGATCCCCAACAACCTCCGAAGCCAAGTCGAAGACCCCTGCTCCCGATGCAACTCAAATCACTAACTCCGAAAAGACGGACTAGCATCCACCCAGAAGTAACTACCCGAGAAGCTACGCTTTAATTAGTCTACGAAAAGCTGCAGCTAGGCTCCACCTTTTCACTTAATGGGGGAGCTGTTATATCCGGAAATCCTATTGTCCACATGGGTTAAATGCCACCGACCTGCAAGAGTGCAACGATTGCGAAAACGTCGTGTCAACGATATGTCGCAACATCTGCAGCCGTCGACCCCGTCAACGTCAGCATAAATTTATTATAAATACTAATTTCTATTGTAAAACGTTGTCTGATAACATTCTCTCATCACGAGGTTATTATGTCCATTTTTACTTGTATTTTAACGGTCTAATAACATTCTCTCGTCACGAGGTTATTACGTCCAATTTCATTTTGATTTTTATTTTAATTTAAAGTTAATAAATATATTTTTTAAAAAGTTATTTTTGAAAAGTGAAATATAAAATATATATATATATATATATATATATATATATATATATATATATATATATATATATATATATCACTGACATCAAAATTAATTAACCATAATTACAGATTCATGTTGATAACAAGCTTTGGAATAAAATTTGAAAAATTGACTCACAAACGATTGTCATTGAATTTTAAGTCACCTGAAAAAGTGCACTGCAGGATTCGCTAATCCTACTTCGGAATTAGTAGCCTCATGTTCTTCTTCACATGCATATAATACTTCTTCGGCTGCAATCCCTAAACAATTAACGCCTTATTAGACAAAAATTGCATAATAAGCAAATCAGATTTTACCTTGTAAGACCCTATCTAAATGTCCAGTTTCCATCTGCCAAACATAAACAGTTCCATCTGAGCATCCAATTATTATAAAGTCATCTTTAGATCGCCATTTTATTGTTGTCACCGGAAATAAATGTCTCGATGCCAGGCAAACACACTTTCTTTCTGCAAGACTTAAAAGTGTGACAGAATGGTCAGAAGCCACAGAACAAATACATTTCTGAATTCGGGCCTATGAACAAGCATAAGCAAATGTCAAACTTATTTGTATTTAAATGTAATTTACTTACACTACAATCATTAGGAGGTACCAAGAGCTGCGTTATTTCACCAGCATGGACGCAAAATCGGTGTAGAAGAGTGCCGGCACAGAGATCCCACAGGCAAACGGCAAAATCGACACCTCCAGAAACCAAATGGTTACGGTCATAACGTGGATGTTCTCGATGAGGATGTAACAAACAATTAACTCGACCATGGTGTCCCGTTAAAACCTGATGTGACGGCCAATCTAAAAATTTATAAAATGATTGATTTTTTATGCACAAAACAGTTTACTCACTACGATATTGTTGATGGGTACCGTGTAATAATTGTAACATCACAGTTTGTGTGGCAGGAATTATAATAATTGTGCCATCTTCCCTGCCAACTACTAAACGACTTTGCAATGGTAAGTAAATGCTCGCCGTAAGCTTGATTGCTAAAATAATATAAATAACAATCTCAACCAATTAATAACCGCGGAATTCAATAGACAGACAATGTACGGCAAAAATGAATTACAATCTCATTAGGGTCAGATACTCCAAAATTTTTTCATTCGGTCATTGTTTCCTCTCATTGCTATGCAAATCAAAACTAACTTTTTTTGCAATAGGCATAATAAATTATAAACAGACGAATATCCTGAAAGAAATTTCAAATTTTTTTGGAAAGTATGAAGATAGCAAATTTTTTTTTAAATAAATGATTAGAACAATTTTTAGAAAAACTACTAACTTTAAATAAATTCCCTAGATTTAACAATTTAAGACCAGATTGGTTAGTTTTCTGTTAAATAAGGAATCATTTCACAAATAAATTAAGTAGATCAAAACAAGAAATTAGTATTAACAGATAAGGATAAAAAAGTTTGAAAATACCTTAAAAACCATAGTAAGCAATATGAAACCAAACTGATGATCTTAGGACCTTCAATGGCTATGATGCTTAGCTTAGCTTAGTGTTAAAATATTTTTTTATCTATTTTGCGATAATATTGATTGAATTTACTAAGTAATATTTTCTTACATTGGCCTTCTTGTTTTTCTATTTGATCTAATATACCAACTAGATCTGGCTTTACTGAACTCCAAGCTTTTGTCAAACTTGTAAGCAATGTGGCAGAAGAGGTAACAGGCTGTGGTGGGGCTTGCGATCTGATTGCCGCTAACTGCGCAGCAGAAATGTCAGGAATAGCCCATAGGAGGACACTGCCTTGCGAATCTCCTCTTAACAAATAACGTTTACCTTGACCATTTCTATGTGTGGTAACAAGACGCATAGCAGGAGGGCATGATAAAGGCTAAAAAAACAAAATAATAGGTATAAATAACTTAAAATATCGAATTTGGGTTGTAAAAAAAAATATCTTTGTAGGAGTGTAGCACGTCTTCTATTTTTTTATAAAACCTTACCTTTCCATCTGCTTGACTAAGCAAACAGTATAAAAATGGACTGTCATTTTCCACACTCACGGTATGAAAATCTTTATGATCTGGAGTACTGCTAAAAATTTCATTTAAAAAGTTAAATTAAAAAAAATATTGGAAAGAATATTTTATATGAAGATTGCTAGTACTTTTACATAAATAACAATGTAAAAATTACGAGTGTCGCTACAGAAAAGCAAAAACTATTAACAATCTTCATAATAATTATTGATATTATATGGAAATAGTACATAAGCTGCTTGTGAATTAAGAATAAAACATTTGGCATTTCATACATTTTGAGATTAAAAGAATAGGTACAATACAATACACAAACAACAAATCTGAAACAATTTTAGAAAACAAACACAGGCTACCTACATAGTAAAAATATACAGTTGCAGTGCACCTGAAAACCTTAAGTTTCATATGCAAAATTGTACGTTTGGAGTACTACACAAAATTGGTTGCCCTCACCCCCTCAATGCAAATTCAAACTCATGTCACATATGTTCAGAAGAAAACAATCTATCCATATACTCCAGCTAACCAAATAAATTTGAGAAACTGGAGAAGTTTGGTAGAACCGTTAATTATAGGGATTAATATCAATGCATACAAACCAATGCAAAGGTGTGGGGGAAGGGTCTTTACACCCCTGTTGCCCTCAATGAACTCAAATACATTCAGAAGAAAACAACCTATCAGCGCGTTCTAGCTATGCAATTAAATTTGAGAAACTCGAGAAATTTTCTGGAACCTTTAATTATAGGATTAACATCAATACACACACACTAATGCGAAGGTGTTGAAGAAACTGAGGCCAATGCAGTACATATGAGGAACATGTAAAAAAGCCAAAAAATCGCACTAAATAAAAAACAAAACATATAACACCCCAATAGGATATGATAAATTCATTACAAGATTATTCATATTGTATACAACTGACTTGTAATGTTAAGCGCATCACCAGAACAGTAATGCAAAATCGGTCAATGCAATGAAAGAAAGAAAGTGGTATGATAATAATCAAATTCCTTCTAAATATTTCAAAGTGAGATTGTCGGTGATTTCTATCAATAATGAACATGGTCAACAAAATCCTTTGCAACACTCAAGATGTCAAAAGTATAACATTAACAACCAATCTCGCTATGTTCTTTATCAGACATTTTTTATTACAATGTAATACTGCTGTAACTTTTGTTATAGTCCATGAAATAGATTAGCATCCTTTTTGGAAAAATATCTGACCTTAAATAAACTCCCTATATTTAAGAAATTAAGATAGACAGACATGTGCCATTATATAAACCAATGTAAAAAATGTAAGGTTAAAATTATAAGCACCTTCCACCAACAGCAAAAAGGTTTTTAAAAAACACAGAAATATAACATATATGAAAATTAATAGCAGGCTAACCTACTGATACCCTTGCCATGAAGTTTTCTTCAGGTTGCATATGGAAAATTAAAAAAATATATATTATTAGAGCAAGCTAATGAAAGTGTATTAAAAATAAAAGACAAAATGACAGGCTCCTAAAAATCGTCACTATACTGGTAAAAACTTAATTCCGTACATTCAAAATACTACAAGATAGTAAAAAATTAATCAACTTCCTTGTTAGATATTAATTATTTTAAGTAAGTAAGTATGTTTTTAAGTCTTTTTAATCACAAATTTTAATTTTAATTTTTTTTATGGTAATGGTATAGTTTAGTAATATTAATTACAATTTTAAAAAATGTCAAAAAGTGTATATAAATTTATCAAATATACTATATTAACTCAATGAATTTAAAAATGCTTCTTACTTGGCAGGTAATTTATACAAATAACCTTTTCCAGCATCGGACCACATAATGATCCTATCAACTGCTAAAAAATCACCTGACATCCATCTTTCACCTCTAGGTGCCAAATACGAGCACAAAACGCTGAAATCTCCTAAAACAATAAATAAAGATATACAGTATTAGCATTTTTTTCACTTAAAAATATACTCATTAAAAAGAACAAAACGGAGCGGTCTCAAAGACCCTTTAATTTTAATTTTTAATGAAAACTCCCCCTAATACATTTTTTCAAAGAATTTACATTAATTAAAAAGTTTCAATAAAAAAAGTCTAAGATGAAGTTATAAAGGTGAAGTAGTATGATGCTATGGAATAAATACAAATTGTTCTGAAATTAGACATCAATATTTTATCACTACGCATTAAAATAAAGATACAAATTCTTACAAACCGGGGTACATAATTTCTTCATTTTTGAAACACCATAAGACTTAATTAATAAATTGCCTTTCAAAAATGTTTGTCTGTTAATGTGAATTGTCGAATTCAGCTATAGTAATTTCTAAATTTACAATAACTAAAAAGTATTCCACCAAAAAATCTCTAGTTACATTTTAGAGTGAATATTCATAAAATCCATAAACTATTATAGGCTGCCAGATTCAGTAACAACAGACCATGACAAATCAAATTACATAAGCTTTGTTTTCGTTTCATTCTAGAGTGGTTCTATGAAATTTGAGGATGTGGGAATAGTAGGATTTTTACACTTTTCCAAATATTTTACGTTCATATAATAAACACACAATTCACAAGTTAAAAGGGAACTTACCGGCATCATATATTTGCCAATATTTGGTACAAACAACTAACACAGTCCTTTGATTGTAGGCGCAACACTGTAAGCAAACTGCATTTAACGTCCTTATTTGTTTGCTTTCATTTTCATAAATTGGCTCTGAGTGTTTATTTTCATGGCCCAGTAATGTCCAAACCTTTACCATTCCAGTGGTTGTTATAGCTAACACAACATCATCCTTGCGTTTTACAGGTCTCAGCACCTGTCATAAAAATAATAAACTAACTTAAATAATACCAGTTCATTTAAAAATGTTATAATATAAGTTTAAGGTTCAATCATTAAATTATATTCTTTAATACCTTGGAGATCAAAATTCTCAAGTTGCTTTGGGTTCCCATGTAAACCAATGTAGTGAAATTCTTTACCGAAATATAGTTCTTTAATGTGTACCACTTTTCTGCATACAGAAATCTTAAACGTTGGATGTATAAAAATTATTTTTTTTATGCTAAAAGCAGCGTGGGATATTAGGCACAATCTTATTTGTACCAAATGCAGTGTACTATTTTTGTTCACACCACGAACCGCACTGGTGCAAATTAAAAAAATTTTTAATATGTAAAGATATATTTTGATGCTTAAGGTGGTGTATATACAGGGTGTTATATCATATAAACTAGTAAGTAAATCGGGCCCCCCTGATTCCAAATTAATATTTTGTTCCGATCAAAATTAGACAATCAAAGGCTGTTTTCTTGTAACTTTATCAGACCAAACTCTTATTTTGTATTAAAATTTGGAATTTTTTGCAAAGAGGAAGCGGAAAAATGAAAGACATCTCGTCCGTTTAGCGGTCTTAGGGAAACTGGATTCATCAACATACCAACTGTCTAATATCAGTTTTGCCCATAAAGATACAAAAGGTTAAGGTAAACCTAAGGTTAGTCATGTGATACACAAACCGAACGACTATGACGGCAACCCATCTCACTAGACCGACAATCACAGTGGCTATCCAACAACCCAACCTTGCTAAATAATCCGAATATTTTTGCGGTAAGTATTTTATGCAAATTTCGAGAAGTACGCTGCGCATAATGAATTCATTGTTATGGAACAAAACTAAGTAAGTAAAAGTATTGTTATGATTCGGATTGTTTTGTTTTCAAACTGCGCCGATTTCAATTAATTAGTAAAAAGAGGCAAAAATTCTTCATAATTTTAGTTAGTTTACAAAGATAAAGATAAGCTAGTTTCAAATTAATCTCTATAGGTGCAAGTTTTATAACTCACCTAATTTAATTTTATAATGTATATATCTCAAACACTTGACCTAATTACATAGCTCTCGGGATAGTTAGTTTAAATCTGTCTAAGGATTAAAATTCAAGCACCTTTGGTTACCTATTTAAAAAATATACACTTTAATTAAATATTAATTAAATGAGAGCGGGTCATATTGTTATTGTTAAAAAAGGAGATAATTGGGACGCCATCTATGTTCTAAAGGGTTGTCATTATTTTTTGGTTGCAAATAAAAGTTTCTGAGAGAATTTGTTTGTAGAGGTACAAAAAAGAAAAGTGTTTACAAATCAATAGAACTAGAAGATTAGAGAAAGTCATGAGCAAATTAAACTGGAGATGTTATTGTATACAACAGCGGAATGCCTAAATAATGGAACTGTGACTTGTTGAATAATATGTAGAGAACTTTTTCATGTATCCATTCATTTATTTTTGGAAAATTGTGTATTCTCCAATGAATTAGATTTTTTTTGAATGCAAGTATTTTTTGTGGTGCTGAAAGAAAAAGTAGATGCACTAGTGAGTCAGTCACCTTCTATTGAGGAACTAATTGTGATTTTTACTTGAATTTATGATAGAAGCAATGTTTATAACTCGATTTGCACCAAAAATTAATCAACTATAATCTTAGCAGACAAAATAGTAAGACTGCTTAATCATAACAGTGGTCAAATTTTGATAACACTAATAATAAAACTAATTAATTTTTGGGGTTTGAATCTCTGTGGTTAACAATGTTCTGTCTACAAATTAATCAGCAATCCTGTGTAGTGTTAGCAGACAAATTCCCCAAAAATATTTTTTCAAATTTCGGATTAGGCTTAGCTTAATGTGGTTAAGCATGATTTGGTAAATCATGTGAAACTTTATTGTCTAATTGACAAGCATGTTACATGCAATTTTTGGTTCAAATTTTCGGAAATACGAGGCAGCTATTAATATAATATATATATATATATATATATATATATATATATATATATATATATATATATATATATATATATATATATATATATATATATATATATATATATATTCTCACGTATTGATTCACGGATGGAAAAATGTGATGACACTATATTCCGGGATATCACCCGTTCGCTCGTTGAACTCCGACTGGAATCCTGCAAATCTTGCATCCGACTGGAATCCTGCAGACGTTTCGCCAAAATCTCACTTGGCATCTTCAATGCTCGCGCTCCGAAAACACTTCGAACACTGATCTTAGTTTTTCATAACACTTGGTGGCTGTAAAGGTCTCCTTCCCGTAAAGGTGTATGATATTCTCACATATTGATTCACGGATGGAAAAATGTGATGACACTATACTCCGGGATATCATCCGTTCGCTTGTTGAACTCCGACTGGAATCCTGCATCGGACTGGAATCCCCCAGTGTTCGAAGTGTTTTCGGAGTGCGAGCATTGAAGATGCCAAGTGAGATTTTGGCGAAACGTCTGCAGGATTCCAGTCGGAGTTCAACAAGCGAACGGATGATATCCCGGAATATAGTGTCATCACATTTTTCCATCCGTGAATCAATACGTGAAAATATATATATATATATATATATATATATATATATATATATATATATATATATATATATATATATACATATATTCGCGAAAGAGGGGACAGATAGACTAGCAAAAATGGAGCTTGTTACAGAAGTACACTACCTATCTCTCCTACCGCAATACCCAACAGCTTCATTAAAACTCTATCTGACCAGAGATCTAACAATAGATTTCTCAATATGTGGCTTAAAGCGGAAGATATGAGACACACTAAAGCCCTCTTTAAGAGGCCTTCCAGGGATAAGAAAGTAGTTTTGGACATATTTTAGTATAGAAAGCTGTGTATTATATTTGAAGTAGAATCACTCCTTACATTTTTTTCCTTTTTTGGACCCCTAGTATATAAAAATTATAGGAAAACAAAATGATCAATTTATATCAAACTTACATGTAATGCACTAATCCAATCAGGATTTTGTTTTGATGAGAGGGTAAATAAAATTTCTAAGCTAAAAGGATCCATGACAAGAATTTCTGGATAATATCCACTGCAGAACAGGCGCACATCTTCACAGTTGCACATATGATAAGACTGGAAATCAGAAAAAAAAGTTATTAAATAGGTATTTATAATTATTATAAGGTTTTGTTGTCCCTAATAATAAGGGACAGATTTTTTATAATTCTATAATTTATGGTTTAAATATGTTTTTAGAAAATGATAATTGAACATACCTGCATATTTGTATGAACTTGAGGTAATTTTACAACTTCCCGACATTTGCCATCAGTCATATCCCAAGTACACATCTCACCAGCCTCAGAACTGGACACAATATAATTGTTATCCACCATTATTGAAGCTTTGGATATACACAAAACAGGTGCAGTGTGTCCAACTAACAAACATCTGGGAATCATTTCTAATGTATCAGGATCCACTTGCCTAAAAATAAAAATAAATCAAACAATAATACTGACAAGACTTGTCCCAAGAACTTACCATAAACAAATTTGGCCATCATAACAACCTGTTGCCAAAGTTTTTTGGTCTTTGGATAAAAATATACAAGATATACAATGTGTTGGAGCATGTTTACCCCACAACACCACAGGTACCACTAAACTTGTTCCAGGCATTTTGTCCTACAATCAGCCATTAACAGTTTTCACTTTTCTGCTGTAACTTGTTTAACCAATGCATCACATGATCACTTTGATCAACGTTAATTCTTGTGTCCATTAAATTTGCATACAATAATGTTTGGAATGCAAACACGGGAAAATTGGAAATTAATACAATTAAAACAATAGAACCAGAATTAAATGCTTGGCTACGCACCCAAAGAGATTCTTTATTTATTAAATAACAGTTAATTTAAATATGATCTTAAGGAAGTATTCAAAATAATTTCGAATTAGTCTTTCTTACCTTTATTCAAAATAATTAAAATGACGAAAGCTATTTAAAATATTTCAAAATACGAAAGATCTACAACCATTTTGTCTTATTAACCATAGATAAATATATTTCTGACTGATAATCAGCTGCAACGAACAAAGCCCTTTTGTAATCAAAATAGGTGATAAGTTAACTAAAATGTGTTGCCAGTTCCTGACGCACAAAACGGTGCGCACTCAAAAAATTCTAGTTATACCGATGTGGACTTGTCTTGTCCTAATGGGTGTCATTTTTTTGTGGCACGCTAAGGGAATACCGGACAGTATAAAGCCGGTTACTCGGCTAAAGGCTGAAATATCTGCATACAAAATAAAAGTCATTAAATCAAATATCAAAAGGTAAAACAAGGTTAAATAAGCCATTAACCTTGTTCAGAGTTAGGTACGTGACGTCACTGTTATCGGTATGTGCTCGACGTAACCATACTCCGTGTTCTTGTTCTTTCTCAATAATTATTTTTCTATGCATTAATGTAAGTAAGATAGCTGGTAATAAAATCACCACCTACTTTTTCCCGAGTTTGTCGGTGTAAATCTGGGCAAATAATTTATTTCTTGAAAACGATTTTATGTAGGTAGATGAGTAAATAGATTATTTTATATTTAATGGGCTCAATTGCACAAAATAGTTTTTTAGAAGTGCCAAGGAAACATAAAAGGTAAAACTTTATTTTTTACATTTGTGCTACTGTTCCTTGTCCTATGGTAAATAATTTTTTCCTACCTTTTAAAAAAATGAGAAAGGTGATAACCTGATAACAAAGATATTATTCAATGGTCGTATTCAGCCGACGTAGCAAAGCGTTCCCGATACGTAGCGGTAGCGGACATGTCTTTGTACACTAGTACCTACTACATCAGAAACTAGTAGAAACGGGAGTTATGGACATTTTAATTCAAAACGAAATGACCGAGGATAATTTGGTCAAATGGCTTTGGAATTAGCAGAACCAATTCGAATATTTGAGGATACTGAAGGTGATGAGTGTCCAATACCAAAAAATCAGAAGTATTACTAAGAGTGCAAGGAGTTATGAAGAAAACTTATTCTTAGAATATTTTTGAGGCCGACATTTGTAAACATATTAATTACCACATAGCACGTTTTGGAGCAGCGAGACATTTGATATGTTTAGAAGAGATGCTAGAAGAGGAGCTACCACACCTGGAAGTAGATATTGCAGATGAGGGTGGAAATGAGGAGAGGAACCAAATAGCAAATATGTTTTTATAATTTATTGCTCTTTTTTTGTAAACTTTTATTTCTTTCCTCCTGCATTTTCTTGCTTCTTTCGATGGCGTTTCGTAAGAGGTTACTTTCTTATACTCAAGCTTCCTTGATATTTGTCAGCCTTCGTCATAGATAAAACATTCTACTCTTTGACTCCCTAGTCCTGGTACTTCTAAAATGAAAACATGTTGTAAGCAGCAACCCATCCCTTCGACATAACTGGTGTTGACTACGCAGGTCCATTTTCCATGAAAAGTAAAACAGGTCTGATAAAGGCAATTCATTTGGAATTGGTAACCGACCTCACAAAGGATGCACTTATTTTAGCTTTACGTAGATTTGTGTCTCGCAGAGGGAAACCGAGTCAAATATTCTCGGACAACGGAACTAATTTTGTAGCAGCCAGTTTTGAATTAAATGCTTTATACAATTTTATTAGAAAAAATGGCAACGATTTAATTCATTCCTTTGGAAAAGTAAATTTTAACCAATTCGTTTTCACTAAGAGTGACAACTTGCCCACATTGAGTTTTACAAGGATTTGTAATTGTCAAGCAGTAGTTCTTGTGATTGTTCTAGCAAACTTACAGCTTAATCGTTTTCTTATAGTTCCTGTAATTCTTGTACACTAAAACATATTCTCTGGCAACAGCAATTCCTAGCTCGGCGTTGCCAATTATATTCGGATTTCAGATGCTGATTTTGAGTTCTTATGAAAATTGGGCTATTTTTTCAGAAAAATTACGGCAATGTGACAACTCAGTTATTTGGCTGTGATGCATGCGCATAAGATCCACACCTCTACGAAAATATCATAGCCACCTGCGGCGCATCACTTTTTACCGTAGTAGGGTCACTATATTATCTCATAGCTATGTGATGAGAACGACAAGGCCGTATTTGTCCAAAATCGTATCGGGACGTTCCGGGCTCGCGCGAGGGAGGCTGGCAAAGCGTTTATGTGGAGAAAGAATTTTCATGGAGAGAAAATAACCATGATTTGTTTACATTACAATTTTTTTTAAATACATCTATTTGATAATATTTCCAGTGACTCAGCTTAAAAAATTCAGTTGCATTTTAATTAATCAAAGAGCTAAATGTGTTTGTTCAAAGGTTCTCAATTATTTTAAATAAATCATTGCGGGCATAGTAAAATTGTATTTACGTACCTTTTTACTAGGAAAATTGCATACGGCGATTATCACGAATCATGAAAGGTTAATAAAAACGTGTGCCCAATTGTTTTCACAGCTAAAATTATTGATGATTTTTAAATTCTAATTAAATAAATTAAATACTTCAGCTGCGACTATTTTCAGAATATGGTTGTCAATGAAAACATTTTGGATTGTGCAAAAAATTAACCAGCTACCTAGGATACCCAAGAGCCAAAAAGTAAAAGTTACCTAAGTAGTTATCAGGATAAAAAGTATGAAAATTTTGAAATTGCATTAAAATTTTAGAAAAAAAAGAAAACGCCAAATTGCAAAATAAAAATCCCTTAGGTGTCCAATGAAATACCAACCTCCACCTTCAATAGAAGTTGTAAGTTTTTTTTTAGCTTAAACAATAGCGTACATTGTTGTTCTTTACGTCATGTCCAATAACATCTACTTTTTTTGTAAACTGTTAATTTTATTTCGTTTGTATGTACAGTATATAGTGGAAACCAACTATATAGATAATTAACTTAAGTAAAATAATTTTACCGCATTTTATAAATTAATTTGCTATCCGGGCCGTGCTTACACTTGTATTTTATTTAATTTGTGTCAAGTAAAATTCTTTAACCCGTGGTATCTTTACCAAACCGAGTGCCTTTGGTCTGCTCAGATTGATAGCGGGAAGGGCGGGGTTGAAGTTATCTGTTTCCTTTTTTTCTCTTTCTTTTATTTTGTCGGGCGCCAGTCCTTTTTTTATACAACGGAACAAAATTGGAAGTTAGGAAAAGGACAAATCTAGCTTCCTACTATTTCAAAAAAAAATTTGGAGGCAAACAAGGTCTCAGAATCAGAAAATAATATAAAACAGTTAAAATTTAATTCTGCATGGATTCTACAACTTAATTAATTCGCACCCCTTTACAAGTACCCTGTTACTTGTCTGAGGTTTTGGTGCTGATGCTTGACTGGCTGCAGATGTCACAGGACGGTGCAACTGGTTCCGTCAACCTGGTCGCTCGACTGGTTGGGTAACAAATTTCTAGGTTATGTCGGAGTAGAACGGCAGTTCCCCGAGATCCTGACGCGGTTCTGGATGATTTAATCTCAAATAAGACAAGGCAACAGCAGTAACTTGTAACGGAGGAATTTAAGAGTACAAAACCATCAGTTTTCTAAATTTAAAATAGACTGAAGGTCTAACGGCTAATGATTAAAAATAATTAACAACAATGATGATGGTGCTCAGGCACCCTAACAATGAAATGAAAATTACAACAGAACCTTAAAATTATTACAAAAATTGCCTTTTTTTTAGCCCAAATACAAAAATTAAAACACTATTTGACGAAGCGTGTTTAGAATAGAATTTATCAAATTAATACAAAAAATAAATAAACAAATGACTGAAATGGATAATTCAAAATTAAGTTGCCTTTGGATGGGCGGTATTTATAATGGTGATATTCAAAATATAATTTCTTGTATTTTAGGTATCAAAACCAAAAACTGCAAAAATAATCAGTAAAAGAACATGAAGCTCATCGATCATTAAAACAATACTGAAAATATAAATTTTAAATGTTACTGAAAGGAGGTATCGAACACTATTCAAACGAAGGAGTCTCAAACCACAGATATCGAGAGATACGTGCAGGTGTTTAAGCAGTGGTAACTTATGATTTCTTACAACAGTAAAGTTAAAAAAAAACAACCACTCACTCGCAGGTATCCTCGCTGAAAGTACTGGCAGAAACCTCCTTTGTTTGGTGTCTCTTCGACTGGATTTTAAATGGAAATAAACCTGATACAATGTTCTTTTTACACTAAAAGAAACCGGCAGTATCAGCGTTCAATTTATCACAAGCAAAGGAGAGAAAGAGAGGCCCCCAATCTAGATACCAAGAAAAAAAACACGTGTTGCAGCATGAAGGCGATACAACACACAAGATACGTATCACGATTGGTAGGTAAGCAAAAATATATCGGGCACAATAAAGGGAGAAAGAGGCCCCCAACCTCGACACTAGAATGTATCACGATTGGTGGGTAAACAAAATAAAATATATCGTGCACCATAAGCTTCCTCAATATATAAATTCAAAATTTATACTTTAAACTGTCGATGGCTAACACATTTGAAAATAAAACGAGATTATTATTTCACAAATAATCCAAAAATGACAATCAAAGAAAATGTGCCTTATGGCATAACCCGTAAAATAAAAGAAATTACTTGTCGCAAACTGAAAAATTGAACGTTTAAAGGAATTTTAACATTACCAAGCCAAATTAAAAATATAAAATCAAATATATCACCATTATAAAATACCAAGACCACGATGTGCCCTCTTCCAATCGCCAAAAATCTCTCCCGTCTTAATTCGAACCTGTTCCAAAAAAGAAAAAAGCGCCCGGTTCGACCGCGCATCCGTTTTATATCCGTACCGTCAAAATAGTTCCGAGAGAACAATGTATCTCAGAATAGAGGTTGACCTACTTACTGTGTACTTCACTCACAAACACGTCACAAGCGGCACGGAAACCGATAAATCTTGATGTCTAATTGAAATTATATTGTAACGAAATTTATTTCGTTACATTTGTTATAAAATAGCTCAACAAATGTAATTATGCCTTTATATTATTACATGATAAACCGGGCGAAATGGCGCTATTTTTGGGTGGTTTTTGTTTATGAAGTTGATACGCACATATTCATAAAATTTAAATTAGATTTTACCGGCTTCTACTGAAACTGATTTCGTTTTGTACAAAATATTTATAGTTTCGAAAAAGTCAAATCATTTGGTAGATATAATATTCCTACTTAACATCAAAATGGCAGTGTGATGGCAGAATTACTTTCAATTTAAATTTAAACAAAAAATGAAGTATATTTTTTTAACATTGGTTGATACTCTTGTAAGGAAACTAAGATAATTTAGAAATAAATACTCAATCGTTTAATTTGAAAAATTTTAATATTATATTCAATGACAGGTTAAGGAAATAAGGGATTCTCTTTAAATTAATAACAATATATTTACATCTAATGAGTTTGTACCTATGTACACAGTACACTAGTCAAATTTAACAAAATTTAGAAATACCTGGCAAAAATGAAAGAAACATCCATGCATAGCTGCTTGTGGGTATACCGTTCTCAATGAATTAATAAATGCTGATTCATAATCTGTTACCATAGTACCATTAATATTATGGGGAAATATCTCGGTAATGTGATGATGTAATACAGCTTCATACAGAGACTTCAACTTTCTCTCCATAAATACAAGTAAAATGGGAAAAGCCTAAAATATTGAACTACTAACAGTAAATGTACTGGTTAAATATTATTATTTGTGACCAAGTTGTGACTTCCATGTGGATGGGTCTCCCGAGGCGAGATGGTAGCAACTGAACGAATGTTCAAATGATCGAAAATTACGAACGGTGTTCGGGTTCCGGCGGGGGAGGGGTGGGGGTTCGGGTTCTGGCGGGGGAGGGGGTTGGGGTGATGATTTCCAGCGATTTTTATAGGGATATAAGTTTGAAACTTATTTAAAATGATTTATCTTACTAAGTTAACATTTTATTATTTTTCTTAAACAGGAATTCATCTAATTGTAGGTAGTAAATTCATAGGGTAATGCAGAACAGGAACATAACTCCTTAACAAATAGTTTTTCACAACGACTTTATATATTATTCATGCAGAAGGTGTAACGGAACGAGGTAAAATTGATTTAATATTTTATAGTAGCTCACAAAAAAGGCATTTTGCATGTTTAGTGCAGGAACGTCGTTTTTTATAACATTATTCAATTTATAGGATTAAAGCTTAATAAATATATGTATGTTCGAGTTATTGCAAAAAGATATCTCAACAGCACAGAACCAGAATATCAAGCATCAGGAAAAGTTGAAGAGATCGGTGTGTTCATCTTAAGGAAGGGACAACATAATCATGAACAGTTGAAGGACCAAATGCAAGACAGGAGTTGCAAACATGTGTAAGAAAGGAGACCAAAAGAATATAGGCAATAGACTTGTGACAAGGTAAAGATGTTATTAATGATAAAAATGTTTGTAGAAATGTGTAGTACATTACACTGCATAACTGAAACTACATAAGTATTAATAAGTTTCAATTATGTTAACGTAATCTTAGAAATGCCGAAGGTGTCTTACTTCAACTCAGTATGTACCTGTAGGCAGAGGTTGAGGCAATCGAATGTACCTGTAAAACTGAAAGACTTGACTAGAGTTCTAGGAGCAAGCGAGTGACCTAGATATTAGTTTGGTTATACAGTTTGGCAAAGCTTGGCATGAGCCATTTTTATCGCAAGGTCCTGTATGAAAGGATAACCAATTTGTTGGACCTACCCTTCATCAAATATCGGCATAAATTTTGATTCTTTTGTGGGTTTAGCAAGTATTTTATATTTTTTCAGCAGGTAACCGTTACCTTTGTATAAGTTAAGTAGTAATTTTCGTAAATAAACTTAGTTGACGTTTATTAAAAACTCCTAATAAGGTATATAAAGGTGGCCTTTGTCCTAAAAATAAAAAATATTAGTATAGGATTTTACTTGGACAAGGCACTGTGGATTGTATGTCAAATACAAGGAAATGTGGATGGAAAAAAATTATGGCGTAAATACTATGTTTTGGGAAGGATTATTAAAATGCTTGTGCTTAAAATTTTTGTTTCATTTCAACCATTTAAACAGATTTACATCATAAAAGAGAACAATCTACAAATATTTTGTGCTACACCAGTTCAACAACAAAAGATTTGATGGGACCACTAGGGACATTTCTGGGCCGCTCTGGGGCCATGAGTCCAGAAACCAGATCCATGATGCTGTAGATTTAAAGTACTTTTGTATCACCATAAGCACATTTTTATATGATTCTCATGTGGCTATAGGAAATGCCCCATCATATTGGTGAAGTAGACTATGGGTAGGGGCCCATAAATGTGTGTTATTCCAAGGCTCACTCGCAACTGGCTAGAACAAATTGTACAGTGAATTCAGTCACCTTATAATCCATTTTATTCCCATCATCAGCTGTAAACCCTACCTATTTTGCTAAAAAATGAATTTTGTTGTGGACATTGTCATTCATAAAATATTGATAAATTTGATTTCATAGACGTCAACTTTTATCTTAGTCGGTGGCTGTAATAAATAGTGGGCGATAATGACAACAAAATATTCAAAAGATAATCACGGGTTATAAAAATATTCTTTTGAATGCGGATTGCAGCACCCTTCGATAAAATTTTAACCTATATTTTTTTGGAAACAATAATTGACCGGATCCATTCATGTGTCCTGTGTGGATTTAGCAACCGATGTACGTCCTGTATCTTTAAATTAAGCAGCGTTTTCCTAATTCGCATTCGGATTATACCTATCAAGTACTTACTGTCAAATTGCAAAGTCTGCCATTTGACCGTCTGCTTCAGGGATGTCAAACTCAAAACAAAACAAAGGTTTAACTTTAGAAGGGCCGCAAAAAAATCATTATTCATAGAAACGTTTATTTTGTATACATATGTACATATGTATATATATATATATATATATATATATATATATATATATATATATATATATATATATATATATATATATATATATATATATATATATATATATATATATATATATATATATATATATATATATATGATGACACTATATTCCGGGATATCATTCGTTTGCTTGTTGAACTCCGACTGGAATCCTGCAGACGTTTCGCCAAAATCTCACTTGGCATCTTCAATGCTCGCGCTCCGAAAACACTTCGAAGACTCGAAGAGTTCAACGAGAGAACGGATGATATCCCGGAATATAGTGTCATCACATTTTTCCATCCGTGAATCAATACGTGAGAATATATATATATATATATATATATATATATATATATATATATATATATATATATATATATATATATATATATATATATATATATATATATATATATATATATATATATATATATATATATATATATATATATATATATATATATATATATATATATATATATATATATATATATATATATATATATATATATATATATATATATATATATATATATATATATATATATATATATATATATATATATATATATATATAGTTTTTTTTTTAAAACGAAAAAGAAAAATTTAATGTTTACGTCCTGATACTTGACATCTCTTCTCTGCTATTATCTTTCCTATTTCTGGACAAATTGTGACCCAAGGTGAGCATCATTGATACGGTTTCTAATAGGACACTTATTACCTTTCATGACTGAAAATAACTGCTCGCACCGACAAGTACTACCAAACATGGAAATAATTTCATATGCGAATTTTCGAGTATTTTCAAATATGGCTGGTAAATATTTGTAAAATTCAGGCACGCCCACTTGAATGAATTTTTCTTTCAAATTTGAGTCGCATTGAATCTCGATCACCTCCATTTGCATATGGTCTGGTACTGAGTCTATACTTATTGCGAAAATCGAAGAAAACAATAAAAATTTGTCTTCGAGGGAACTAAAATCGTTAAACCTCATTTCAAATTCAGCTATTAAATTTGCAATTTTTTCTGCGTATTTTTGATACGAACAAGTATCATCTAAACTCGTTTTGTTCATGCTGCACGTCGGGAAGTGTGTCAAATCTTCATTCATTCAAATCTTGTATCCATATTGGATCGGAAAGTAAACTTACGTCTTGATTTTTCATTTTTAAAAATTGACATATTTCTTCTGTCAAATCCCAGAATTGTTTGAGAATCTTGGAGCAAGATAACCAACGTACCTCGGTATAGTAGGACAAACCGGAATATTCACTATCCAAGTCGCTTAAGAAAGCAGTGAATTGACGCTGATTTAAGCCTCGAGATCTTATCAAATTTATAACTTTTTTTATATATGACAAAACATTCTCCATGTTTATTACCTTCGTGCATATAACTTCTTGATGTATAATACAATGCGCATGATGAATGTTTGAACCGTGAATTTCACTAATTTTTTTTCTTAGTAATGCGACGAAGCCCTTGTTTTTCCCGGTCATTGATGGAGCGCCATCTGTAGCGACAGAATTTAATTTTGCCAAAGGTAGCTCATATTTCTGCAGAAGTTTAAAAACACAAGTAAATATATCTTGTCCTGTGGTAGTACCAGGCATCGGTATTAATTCCAGTAATTCCTCAAAAATGTTAAAATTCTTGTCACAAGAACGAAGAAACACTGCTAATTGTGCTTTGCCACTAATGTCCGTGTTGTCGTCACAGGCAATGGAGAAATTTTCGAAATTAGATGCTTTTGCTTTAATCTGATCACTTAAATTGGCGGCTAAATCAGTAATTCTTTCCGCAACTGCATTTCGAGACAATGAAATTGATTGAAAAGCCTTCACATTTCCAGGACAAACAATTTCTCCAGCTTTTATTAGGCATTCCTTGATGAAATCACCCTCAGTAAAAGGCTTCGAGTGTTTAGCCATCAACTCAGAAACGACGTAACTTGCATGTACCGCCGCTTCACTTTCTTGCAATACTTTACTAAACATCAACTGTTGTTTTTCAGTCCTAATTTGAGTTCTTTCAACTTTTCTTCTCTCATTAATCCTTCATAATTGTTATATTTTGACTGGTGTTGTTCGTAATGACGTTTAATATTATATGACTTTGGTACATTAATAGTATTTTTCCATATCAAGCAGATTTTTATCTTTTATTTCACAGCAAAAGTATTCTAATTCCCATTTTACTTGGAATATCCTATGTTCGTCAATGATTTTTCGTTTATTTTACTACCACTTGGTTTTAATACAGACATACTGAATACAATGGGCTGGAATAAATACGCTGTTGTTTAGAAAAATAATACATTTTAATAAAATGTATAAAAAAAACATTTTAATAAAATATTAATGTTAACATTAACTTACCAGAGAAACGGAATAACTGTATAAATAAATGAGAGTACTATGAATTAAGTTATAATTAATATTAAAACAAAATTATTCCTATTACCTGCACTAATTCATGTATATCGTACAAAACTATGTTCAGAGAACGCGGATATGTTGGCCGGGCCGCAAAAATGTTCGTAGTGGGCCGCATCCGGCCCGTGGGCCGCGAGTTTGACATCCCTGGTCTGCTACATCGAGATCCCTCGCGGGGCGAGAATCACCGAGACTTTCCGAAACGAGACCGAACGTCGTTTGGGATTTTCGATCATTTGAACATTCTATCATTTGTGCTGTTCACGTTGTCTATGCATTCGATCATTTGTGGTGTGTCCGATCAGAAGGCCGTATTTGGCCAAATGTCCATATGTCCAAATCGTATCGGGGCGTTCGGGGCAGACTAAGAGGGAGGCCGGCAAAGCGTTTCCGTGAAAATAATTTTTGCTGGACAGAGAATTTTTAAATTCATTCAATGAGCAATAGGATTTATCAATATCTTTATCCAGCGACTATTTTGAGGATATGATTGTCAATTAAAACATTTTAGATTTTGTAAAAATTTAACCAGCTACCTAGCATACCCAGGAATTGAAAACGAAAAGTTACCCAAGTAGTTAACTGGATAACAAGTATGAAAAAATTGAAATTGCATTAAGATTTTAGAAAAGAACAGCGCCCACTATTTAAAGATACCAACCAATTTAAAAAGGTCTAATTGTAAAATAAAAATCCCTTAGGTGCCAATGAAATACCTACCTACACTTTCATTGTAGTATGTTTAATAGAAGTTGTAAGTTTTTTAGCTTAAACAATAGCGTAAATTGGTGTTCTTTATATCATGTCCAATAACCCCTACTTTATTTTGTAAACTGTTAATTTTATTTTGTTTGTAAGTGGAAACCACCTATGTATTTAATTAACCAAAGTAAAATATTTGAATCGCATTTTATAAATTAATTTGCTATCTGAGCCGTGTTTACACTTGTATTTTAACCTCTCCCTTAATTTGGATAAATGGTTCGGCCGCTTTCAGGTGTTCGTCGCCGGTGCCTGGGGTGATATGCACAATGCACATTATAACATTTGTGGTTTTCCCGGTGATTTGGACAAATGCACCATATAACATTTGTGGTTTTCCCTTTAGGAACACCACAAACAGTCGAATGTTCAAGGTGTTCCCACAAACCACCCTTCCCAATCGAACCCGAACGCTGTTAGAGATATTCAACAATTATTATTATTCCAAACAAATAATTTTAATGGAGTCTACTGCACACACCGATAACTTTAAACGACATTAAACAACAAACAAAAATTAAGCAACAACAAAAAAAATAAAGAGCACTCCTGAAATTAAGAGAAAGAAATAATAAAATTTTTAGATTGATTGAATTGTTTTTAAATTTCAAACTAAGATGTTTCTTGAATGTTGAACACTCGGATGAATCCATAAAGGTGAATCGCCAATGATACCACACCACCTATATTTTTACTAATAACAATAACAATTATACAACACAAATATGAAAGTTATATGGAAATAACACTTTTTTCCGCCGAAGGTCTCATTACATTCGTGCCTATCGCTTGGTGAAACGTAAAGGAAGAAGAGAAGGTTCTGTGGTAAGTAAGGTATGGTATAACTATAACTAACCTGAGTATTCCATATAAGCCATGCAGCCTAAGTTATAATACAGTTTATTTTTTCGAAGTTGGCTGATTTTGTTGTCCACGTAAACGATTGACTATATTTGGTTAAAATAAACTCAACTATAATAGCTTCTCAATCTGATGTAGTTAATTATGAAGTGTCATTATGAAATATTGGCTGTGTCGCTGAATGCAGATGCTGCAGAAATTAAAACGGCTTACAGGAAATTGGCACTGAAATGGCACCCTGACAAAAATCTGGACAACGCAGAGTATGCAAAAGAACAATTTCAATGTGTTCAGCAAGCATATGAAGTGTTAAGCGATAAACAGGAGCGTGTATGGTATGATAAACATAAGGAAGAAATTTTGAGGAGAACTAGTTCCCAATATCTGGAAAATAGTCTGGATGTGTATCAGTTCTTTACAACATCCTGTTTCCGAGGTTATGGAGATGATGAAAATGGTTTTTATACTGTATATCGAAAAGTTTTTGAACTAATTGCTAATGAAGATATCAAATTCATGAATAAGGATGAATTTATTGAAGTTCCCACTTTTGGAAATTCAACAAGTGATTACACTAGTGTTGTAAATCCTTTCTACATTTTTTGGTTGGGTTACTCAACTAAGAAAACTTATTCTTGGTTAGACCCTTGTGACATTGAGCAAGGTAATACTAATTAATTTATTCAATACCAAAAATAATTTGATGACATTATTTTAGCTAAAGGTAACCGAAAAGTATCTAAAATTTTTGACAAAGAAAATCAAAAAGTTCGTCAAAAGGCAAGACAAGAGAGAAATGAAGAAATACGTAATTTGGTTGCCTTTGTTAAAAAAAGAGACAAAAGAGTCCAAGCTAATAAAAAGGAAGTGGAAGCCAAATCATTGAAAAACAAAAAGAGGCAGCAAGTATTAAATAGACAAAAAAGATTGGAATGGAAAAAATTATGTGAGGATGAAAATCAGGCAGATTGGACCAAATTTGAAAATGTTAAATCGGAGTTAGAAGAGATAGAAAAACATTTAGATAGAGAATTTGGTACTTTAGTTACAAGTTCGGATGGAGACGCTGACGACCAAATAAACAATTTGTACTGTATAGGATGTAATAAAATATTTAAAAACATTAAAGCTTTTGAAAATCACGAATTTAGTAAAAAACATAAACAGAATATGAAAATATTGAAACAAATCATGTGTGAGGAAAGCTTAAACTATTCAGATAATTTTGATGACAACATTCAAACTACACAACTTGATGATGCTAATTCAGTTTTTTCAGAATTAAATGATCACGGAAAGATAAAACAAAGGAAACACAAACAGAAAAAAAATAGTCCGGAGGAGCCTAAAGCAAGTGTTGCAGATGTTAATAGACATAGTAATAAAAAAATGCCCATTTTAGCAACATTGTCATACAATGGCGAAGTTGATGATGAAAATAAAATAGAAAAGAATAAATCCTGCACAAATAATATTAATAAAAATATGTCAAGAGAAGATGTGCAAAGGCAATATAATAAAAATAAAGGTAAAAAGGGGTCAAAGAAAGCTGCCATATTTGAGTTAACAGATATCGATTTACATCATTGTTGTTTAACCTGCAACTCAAATTTTACTTCTAAAAACAAGTTGTTTGAGCATTTGAGGAACATGGGACATGAAGTATGTGTACCCCTGAAAAATGCAAAATGTCACAAATAGCACTGAAATATACAACTACTGTCTGTGTTTTGCCTTTTTTTTTTAATTAAAAAGTTCCGATAACCTGCATATTGATATTATCCCTTATGTTTTCAATATAAGTAATTTCTTAGGGAAATATTAAATTTAATTGAACCAAAATTTGACAAATATGAAATTACTTTTATATAGTGTGATTTGCATCATAATTATAGGGCTATAACCAACTTGCCTTTAAAGTAAAAAGTCACTACTAAATACAGGGTGCCCCACCCGGAACTTCATCGATCTGTCGAATAAAATTTTATGTCCGGTTTCGTGATTGTGTTCGGCAACTGCTAATGAGTATATTTGTTTTAGTCTTAAGGCTCTTTCATGTTCTGTGAGCCTAGTTGATATTTTTTGTCCTGTCTTTCCAATGTATTCTTTGCCGCATATGCATGGAATGCTCTAAACTGGCATCGCAAATGGAATTTGCCGAATCGAAGATGAAAGATTTTTGGTTAGAAAATCTGGCTTTGAGTGATGTTTTGAATGTAAGGAAGGACCACAGTTTGCAAGTGTAGGATCGCTTTCGGCTTCGTTGCTATTGGAAGGTTCTGGTGAAGTGTATTTTGTGATCGAACGCGTGATATCTGTCAGGACATCTTTATTGTGCAAATTATTAGAGAGAAGAGCAGAGGTCAGTGACTCGGGCTGAAATAGTTTTGGTTACCGATGATTTTTGGGTCGGACGGTGATGTGAACATGTGGTAACCCAAATAGCACAAAGACGTCCGTAAAACATCCTCGGGATATCTGACAGGACATGGCGTCTATCCTAGAGATATACTGTTTCAGCTAAGGGGCATCCTTAAGACGTCGCAAGGATATACGATGTTACTAATATCAGATGCCTATGTCCGTAGGACGTTTGTTAGGACATACTAAGGATATCCAGTTATACTAGTTCAGATATGGTTAGTATATCCGACTGTGAGGATATAGGATCTTATATAGATATACCAGTGTACCTTACTTAATTACTAGGTTATTTCCAACAGCCTATTAGAAATGCTAGAAAGGTATGGTCCAGTAGTCCAATTGGTTGTACGACTATAAAAATTCTATCCCAGTATTTGGTACTCGCGTGTGATGGAATTAACCTATTGGGTATGGTTGGTGAAGTCATCACTGGAATAGCAGGTGATATTTGAAATGCACAAGTTTTTTCCAATTAATATTTAATGTTTAATTTTGCTTTTTATGGTAAAAGTGAAGGACTGCCGATTCATACTATTTTTTGTTCTATTGTAGATATGAAAAAATTGTAGGTATATAATATAGCAAAAATATCGAACAACCTAACCTAAAGTATTTTAAAAATAGAGTAAGATACTATATCATGAACTAAACTCTCAAGAATAACTAATATTTGACAGGTTTTGTGTCATTCTTTGATGAAAGTAGCTTTTTTCAGCCAGCTATTTAATTCTAACATTGTTTTGATGTTTGTGATGTGTGTGCCTTCTTATCTGCATCCCAAAATATTTTAGTTTTGAAAAACCCAGGTTTTATTTAAAAAAAATAAAAAGAACGAGACTGGTATCATATGTTTAAAAAACAGATTTCAAAAATACCTACATCCGCCTTTTAAGTAAAGGTTTTATTTGACGCTGGTAGTACTCAAATGAAAGTGATCTTAGATACTAATCTCCACGATATATGTAGGTATACACTAATATATATACTATATATTAATCTCCACGATATATGTAGGTATACACTTACGTATTTCATACTATCGAGCGCAAAAAAAAACTAGAACATATATGACTTTTCAGTTTGACAGTAAAGTAGTCCTATTTTCATGCAATATTTTTTTTCTACTCCCGTCTGTAAAATACCTAATTACACACCGAGCGGCAAGCGTCACTTTACCACCTCAGTTTTGTTTCCCACTGATCCGAGCCACTTTAGACATTTCCGGGATTTTACCGCACAGGTCATGCCAGTGACTGTATTCGGTTTGGTTTGGCGAAAATGTACCCAAAAATTAACGGTTATAGAAAAAGTATAGTATGCAACACTTTCAGTAAACTTTTTAAGTCACTCATTTATTAAACACCCGCTCCGCTGGTGTCAAATAAACTCGTAAGTCAAATGCCGTTTACCGCACTTGTTGTATAATATACTATTGTCAACTTAAAAATTTTCCTAGTTTTTTTTGCTTTTGCTACTATCACCATGAAAACAAGATTGCTTTCGCAATCTCGTCGCTGCGCGGGGCGACTGCTCCGTGCTATGCGCTACGCAGTCTACGGCTTTGTATTTCAGAGAAGCCGCTAAGTGGCTTCTTGTCCTAGGAGAAAGCATTGTTTTTCTATCGTGCTCCTGCGGACCACGATGGAACTTTCGCAAAATGTAATTTTATTATGTTTGCACCCTGTATAAAGGATCGTTCATGTCTAGCCGAGTTTCAACATCACGGCAAACTTTTTTAAAAAATAAAACTTTTTATGAGTAATTGTGGTTTCCATTGATATTATTTCAAATAATCTGACTCCTTTATTGATGGATAAATACAAAAATTGTAGCACTTGATTGGATCGACACGTAGGACACAATATTAAATAATTGCTTTGTTTCACCTTCAAAATCCAAATATTACGTATTAATGCTTTGATGATGGCTTCGTGGTGAAACGAAATGTCGGATACAATTTTAAATCATTGCCAAGTCTTCAGCGCACCTCAAAACCCCCGGAACCACCTTCAAATGATAATTATTACGAATTAATGCCCTTAAGATGGCTTCCTGCTAAAACGAAACGTCGGACACAATTTTAAATTATTGCATCATCTTCAGCGCACCTCAAAACCCGGAAACACCCTGAAATTCGAATGAATGTTCTGAAGATGGCTTTCTGCTAAAACGAAACCTCGGACACAATTTTAAATTATTGCATCATTTTTAGTGCACCTCAAAACCCCCGGAATCACCTTCAAATTTGAATTACTACGAATTAATGCTCTGAAGATGGCTTCCTGCTAAAACGAAACGTCGGCCGCAATTTTAAATCATTGCATCGTCTTCAGCGCATCCAAAAAACTCCGGAATCACTTTCAAATTACAATTATTACGTATTAGTACTCTGAAGATGGCTTCCTGCTAAAACGAAACGTCGGACACAATTTTAAATCATTGCATCGTTTTCAGCGCATCTCACAACCCCCGGAATTTCCTTAAATTTTTTAAAATATTTTATGTTTCGATACCATTGTCATTAGCGACGTTATTCCAACGAAAATAATGTAATGAGTTATCGACGACATGCAGAGCTTACTATTTATAGGTAAACGCATAGACCAATAGGATTAAAGCTTAAGAAAATTGCACGTATAATCTCTGAACCAATCAAAATAAAGGATACAAATAAATCTCAAAGCCTACTCCTGTATTAGAAACCTTATTCTCAGAATATTTACATTTCTAGTGGTTTTTTCAAATACGTGCGTTGCTCCAATAAGGTCTATCCGCACATACTATAAAGTCCCCTCCAGCCCCCTCCATTTAATTGTAATTAAGCATTTTTTAAAAATTTGCAGCATCCGACAAAAAGCGTTCCCAATGGCAAACAATACAACTTGGATGAGACTTTTTAGTATCGTCGGATAGAGGAAGGACCAATGTGTATAACATATAAATTTTAAATTCTCAAAATTATAAATAAATAAGATTTAAAACATTCAAAATTGATCATTGATTTTTAAGCCGATTTTTCCATTTAAAATGAGATTTGAAAGTTATTTCTCAATCTATATTGATCCGAGAAAGTTGAAGTTTTTATGGAAGATACACAACAATGAGGTCCATCCGGGGATACTATAATGTCGCCCCCAACCCCCCCTTTTCGGTTAATATTTTCAATTTATTATTTTCATATTTATCATGTTTTTCTTCAAAAATTTTAGATTTTTAATTTTTTAAAATATATACTACGTTTCTCGGAGAAGATTGAAATTTTTTACCGAAGTTAGAGGTCAATGATGTCTATTCGTAAATACCATAAAGTCTGCCTCCAGCCCCCCCTATCATTAGTTAATATTCTCAATTTATTACGTTCATGGATATCATGACACTCCTCAAAAATTTTCATTTTCATTTTTTTAAAATACCTACGTTGCTTTGAAAAGATTGAATTTTTTTTTGAAGATGGAGGTCAATGAAATTATAAAGTCCTTCCCAGCTCCCACCATTTAATTATAAAAAATAATTAATACAATTTTTAAAAAAATTGCAGTCTCCTACAAAAACCGTTTCCGATTAAACCATACAACTTGAGTAAGATCTTTTGGTATCATTAAATAGAGAAAATACTAGAGTATATAACGTATAAATTTCAAATTCTTAAAACTATAAATAACGGAAATATAAAATATTTTATAAAAAAAATCCCTTTTTTGTCAATATTTTGTCTTCCGGAAGGACTAAGGAACTTATAATACAACTGACTATTTTTTTTGAATACCACCCCGAATAATATCGACCTCGATCCAAAATTTTCATGAACACTTGGACGTGATTTTTCCCAAAAATTTAAGTTTTTAATTTTTTAAAATACCTACGTTGTTCCGAGCAGGTTGAAATTTTTATGAAACCTGGAGGTCAATGAGGTATTCCCGCAGATACCATAAAGACAACCCCAGCCCGGTCGATTTAATTGTAATTAAACATTTTTTTAAAAATTTGCACCTTCTTACAAAAACCGTTCCCGACGGCAAACGTTACAATTTGTGTGAAACTTTTTGGTATTGTTGGATAGAGGAAGGACGTAGGTATATAACATATAAATTTCAATTTCTCACAGTTTAAAATAAACGAGATATAAATCATAAATTACGGACCTTCGATTTGTGAACTGGTATTTCAGATCAAAATGTGATTTCGAGGTAATGTTCCAAAAGTTTGCAAAATTTTGGCTAAAGGGGTTTCTGACGATCAGAAATCCGAATCGGCAACTACTTTTTGAAAATGTTGACATTTTATGACGATTTATGATTTTATTGATTAGGTTTTTCCAAATATCTCGCGCACTCTGTATAGTAAACGAAAGCTCTAAATCCGAAAATTGTAGATCTCGATACAGTTCATAATACGTTTTAAACCAAATTTTCCCATCTTTTACAGTTTTTTATTTACAGCTAATATTTTATACACGATAAAGGCAATTTACACGGTACTTTCGATATTTTGCCCATAACCGAGACACTATGTACATAATCGGAAAAATTACGGAATTAGAGATTAAAACTCTGAATCTCCCACGTTCCGTGGTAGATGATGAAGATATTTATCTAAAACAATGCAGCGCACCGTACGTCGTAATGGCCAGTGACGTCATCGCGTTTAAATTGAGTACGATTTTCACATGGATTTTTTCAAATATCTCGAGCAGCGTGTGTGAAAACCGTATATACAAAATTTGTAGCTCTCGATGCGGCCTATAAAACTGTTTAAACCAATTGGCCATATTTCTCACGAATTTTGATTTACGGCTAAGAATGTACTTTGGAAATTGACAATTTTCAGAGTCTTTCAGATTTTTGGCTATAATTAAAAAACCCTGTATATAATCGAAAAAATGCCCAAAATAAAGGTTATAGTCCTGGATCTTTTGCGTCTTTTGGTTCAAGAATTTTGTCGATCGGGTAAAGCGTTTTCGCGAAATGAATTTTTTTATGCAGCCCAAAATGACAAAATTTTTTTCTATAATTTTTAAAAAATATTTGCCGATTTCCGATTGTGCCTAGCTTCAAGGATTTGGGTGAGGGGTTGGACTTTTACCACCCTGCCAAATTTGAAGTCAATAGTTGCATTTTTCAATAAAACTCGACATATCTCAAACACCCTGTACAATACGCGAAAACCTTAAATACAAGGATTTTAGCCTACGGCCTACACTGTCATGTAGAAAAAGCAGTAGACCGGGTAACAGTGTAGTGTTACAGAATGAAGGTTTATGGGTATCCACATTCTGCATCTTCTCGTTCGTGAATTGTTTCGATCCTATAAACGGTTTTCGAGATATAGTCATTTTTTGGTTTTTTAAAAAACGTTTTTGAATTTTTAAAAATACTTCCCAATCACCCATCCCTCTCAATTTCAATAGGTTCTGTTAGGGGCCGGTCTCTACCCTCGTGGAAAATTTCAAGTCGATAGATTCAAATTTCGGACAATTATCGTGTTTTATAGCGAAGCCGAAAAATTGAAACAAAAGTGGCAAAACATCGGGCCGTGGTCGGATCGGGCTCAATATTGCGATTGTAGCACTTGATTGGATCGAAACATAGGACACAATATTAAATAATTGTTTTGTTTTCAGAATTCCTCAAGAATCATACAAACCACCTTCAAAATCCAATTATTACGAATTAATGCTTTTAAACCAAATTTTCCTGTCTTTTACAGTTTCTCATTTGCTTATAATATTTTACCCATGAAAACGGCAATTTTCAGGGTCTTTTAGTTTTTTGACCATAACCGATTATTACCGAAAATTACAGAATTAGAGATTAAAGCCCTGGATCTCCCACATTTCCTGGTAGATGAAGTTTTCCAATACAGCAAATGATTTTCGAGAGAATAATATTTAATTGGAACAATGATGCACACCGTACTTCGTAATAGTAAGTGACTTCATCGCGTCTAAATTGAGTGCGATTTTCACATGGATTTTTTCAAATATCTCGAGCAGTGTGTGTGATACAAGAAAACCGTAAATACAAAAATTGTAGTTCTCGATGTGGACTATAACACTGTTTAAACCAATTGGCTCTATTTTTGACAAATTTTGGTTTACGGCTAATAATTTGATTGCAAAAAGAACAATTTTCACAGTCTTTTAGATTTTTGTCTATAATTGAAAAAACTACGAACATTCTTGCGGCCCGCCCAATATATCCGCAAATAATAATAAATACGTGTGAGTAGCGTCCAACGATAGCCGAATGTAACCAAACACATGGTTTCAGTTCTCTGAACATTGTTTTGTACGATATACATGAATTACTGCAGGTAATAGGAATAATTTTGTTTTAATATTAATTATAACTTAATTCATAGTATTCTCATTTATTTATACAGTTATTCCGTTTCTCTGGTAAGTTAATGTTAACATTAATATTTTATTAAAATGTTTTTTTATACATTTTATTAAAATGTATTATTTTTTCTTAACAACAGCGTATTTATTCCAGCCCATTGTATTCAGTATGTCTGTATTAAAACCAAGTGGTAGTAAAATTAAACGAAAAATCATTGACGAACATAGGATATTCCAAGTAAAATGGGAATTAGAATACTTTTGCTGTGAAATAAAAGATAAAATAATGATATGTAAAAATACTATTAATGTACCAAAGTTATATAATATTAAACGTCATTACAAACAACACCAGTCAAAATATAACAATTATGAAGGATTAATGAGAGAAGAAAAGTTGAAAGAACTCAAATTAGGACTGAAAAAGCAACAGTTGATGTTTAGTAAAGTATTGCAAGAAAGTGAAGCGGCGGTACATGCAAGTTACGTCGTTTCCGAGTTGATGGCTAAACAGTCGAAGCCTTTTACTGACGGTGATTTCATCAAGGAATGCCTAATAAAAGCTGGAGAAATTATTTGTCCTGGAAATGTGAAGGCTTTTCAATCAATTTCATTGTCTCGAAATGCAGTTGCGGAAAAAATTACTGATTTAGCCGCCAATTTAAGTGATCAGATTAAAGCAAAAGCATCTAATTTCGAAAATTTCTCCATTGCCTGTGACGACAACACGGACTATAGTGGCAAAGCACAATTAGCAGTGTTTCTTCGTTCTTGTGACAAGAATTTTAACATTTTTGAGGAATTACTGGAATTAATACCGATGCCTGGTACTACCACAGGACAAGATATATTTACTTGTGTTTTTAAACTTCTGCAGAAATATGAGCTACCTTTGGCAAAATTAAATTCTGTCGCTACAGATGGCGCTCCATCAATGACCGGGAAAAACAAGGGCTTCGTCGCATTACTAAGAAAAAAAATTAGTGAAATTCACGGTTCAAACATTCATCATACGCATTGTATTATACATCAAGAAGTTCTATGCACGAAGGTAATAAACATGGAGAATGTTTTGTCATATATAAAAAAAGTTATAAATTTGATAAGATCTCGAGGCTTAAATCAGCGTCAATTCACTGCTTTCTTAAGCGACTTGGATAGTGAATATTCGGGTTTGTCCTACTATACCGAGGTACGTTGGTTATCTTGCTCCAAGATTCTCAAACAGTTCTGGGATTTGAAAGAAGAAATATGTCAATTTTTAAAAATGAAAAATCAAGACGTAAGTTTACTTTCCGATCCAATATGGATACAAGATTTATCTTTCCTAGTGGATATAACCAAACACTTAACCGATTTAAATTTATCGTTACAAGGGAAAGATCGTATTATTACGAAAATGTTTGACATAATTAAAGCATTCAAATGTAAATTAGTTCTTTGGGAAAAACAACTCAAAAATGAAGATTTGACACACTTCCCGACGTGCAGCATGAACAAAACGAGTTTAGATGATACTTGGTCATATCAAAAATACGCAGAAAAAATTGCAAATTTAATAGCTGAATTTGAAATGAGGTTTAACGATTTTAGGTCCCTCGAAGACAAATTTTTATTGTTTTCTTCGATTTTCTCAATAAGTATAGACTCAATACCAAGCCATATGCAAATGGAGGTGATCGATATTCAATGCGACTCAAATTTGAAAGAAAAATTCATTCAAGTGGGCGTGCCTGAATTACAAATATTTACCAGCCATATTTGAAAATACTCGAAAATTCGCATATGAAATTATTTCCATGTTTGGTAGTACTTATCGGTGCGAGCAGTTATTTTCAGTCATGAAAGGTAATAAGTCTCCTATTAGAAACCGTATCCATGATGCTCACCTTGGGTCACAATTTGTCCAGAAATAGGAAAGATAATAGCAGAGAAGAGATGTCAAGTATCAGGACGTAAACATTAAATTTTTCTTTTTCGTTTAAAAAAAAACAATATATATATATATATATATATATATATATATATATATATATATATATATATATATATATATATATATATATATATATATATATATATATATATATATATATATATATATATATATATATATATATATATATATATATATATATATATATATATATATATATATATATTCTCACGTATTGATTCACGGATGGTAAAATGTGATGACACTATATTCCGGGATATCATCCGTTCGCTCGTTGAACTCCGGCTGGAATCCTGCATCCGACTGGAATCCTGCCAATCCCGCATCCGACTGGAATCCTGCCAATCCTGCATCCGACTGGAATCCTGCAGACGTTTCGCCAAAATCTCACTTGGCATCTTCAATGCTCGCGCTCCGTGTTCGAAGTGTTTTCGGAGCGCGGGCATTGAAGATGCCAAGTGAGATTTTGGCGAAACGTCTGCAGGATTCCAGTCGGATGCAGGATTCCAGCCGGAGTTCAACGAGCGAACGGATGATATCCCGGAATATAGTGTCATCATATATATATATATATATATATATATATATATATATATATATATATATATATATATATATATTCTCATGTATTGATTCACGGATGGAAAAATGTGATGACACTATATTCCGGGATATCATCCGTTCACTCGTTGAACTCGGAGCGCGAAACGGTTTCTGTAGGAGGCAAATTTTTTTTATAAAATAATTAATTACGAGTAAATGGAGATGGTTTGAGTGGATTTTATAGTATCTGCTGATAAAGCTTCGGGAAGATATTAAAAAAATGGGGGGTTGTTTAATTCTAAGTTTCTTAGCTACTCCGGGAGACAAAATATTGGTCACAAAAATTTCAATTTTTCAAAAAAATGTAGATAGTTTATAGACATTTACAAAAAATAATTACAAATTCTAATTTCTCGTCTTGGGAACCCCCCTATGCAGAATTTTATCCACATTTGAGAAATCCGAAAATCCCATTTTGGGCTGAAAAATCGGAACGAAAAACGGTGATTAATTTTATAAGTTTATGCGTTATATACTTTGGTCCTTTCTCTACCTGCCAGAACTAAAAAGTCTTATCCAAGTTGTACCGTTTGCCGTCGGGAACGGTTCATGTGGGACGCTGCAATTTTTCAATAAATGCTTCATGGTATCGGCGGCAAGACCTCATCGACCTCCATCTTCCATAAAAATTTCTACCTTCTCGGAGCAACGTAGATATCTTTGTACGGGTTTCTTTCTGTAAATACGTATTTTGTTATTTTGCAACAGTGGCAACAGTGCGCGGCTTATAAAAGGACAGTGTGCCCGTGTTCCGAAAAAGGGTTGACCAGACTTGTTTATATCTTCGTATAGGCAGGTTGTTGTAATAGGCGCTAAGGTGCCAGTGAAATTATGTTGTTCATTTGGCAAATAAATTAATAGACAGTCCATAGATTTCTAATTTTTTAAAAAGGGATTCGCTCAGCGTTGCACTCATCAAAACATTGGTCCTTCGAAACGGATATTACGCAGATTCATTCAAGTATCCAAGTCTACACACACAAGGCTAAAAACTTAAGTTGACACGGCATCCATACACACAAGAAGATTCAAGCAAGCTTACGGGACCTACGTTCTCTCAAAGGAATTAAGGAACACGCAATCTCAAGGTAGCTCACACACACAACGAGAGAAAACGTAAATCGCATCCTTTATTTTATCCATTTATTCATATATATATATATATATATATATATATATATATATATATATATATATATATATATATATATATATATACAGGGTTTTTCATTTAAAACTCCGCACGCCAATAAGTCCAAATCGAAAAGAAATATTTAATTTATGTAAAAAGTAGTCAAAGTGTGGGGTCAAGTAGATATTTCCTAAAGTTTAAAAAATTCGACGCCTGCAAAGAACTGGGCGTCGCGACGCGTCAAAAAATTATTCGATTGCAGAGACTTTGGAAATACGCGTATACAAAAGTACATATTATTTAAAAACTTTTTTGTTATTTACTCAAACTTATTTACTTTACCCGTTTCTAAGTTATACCGATTTAAAGTAAACATTTCTTGATTAATAAAAAATGTGATTAACGCTTATTTTTACAAGTATGCCATGAATGTAGTTACTATGGCAACCATTGTTATCGCAGTTGTTTTAAGTGCAATTACAAACGTAAGTTGTTATTGCTGTATCAAAAAATTGTCACAAGAAATATCCAAATTTGGTCGGTTTTAAAAAAAAAACTAAGAATTATGTGAAAATGGTGCAATTTAGCAATGAGGAAAAAGTAGACATGTTACTGGTGTTTGGAGAATGCAGATGCAATTGTAGAGAAGCAAAAAGAGTTTACGCACGGCGTTATCCGCATAGAAGAGTCCCCGATGCAAAAACCTTTTCAAGTTTATGTAAAAACTTAAGAGAATATGGCAGCTTCATAAAACCTAAAAGAGATAGGAACAGGACGGCTACAAAACAATTCAGCAGGTTGATAATAACCCCAAGATATCCCTATCAGAGATAAAAGAAAATACCGGTGTTACCATAAGTTCTTCGTGGAGAATTCTACATAGAAACTCTTTTTACCCGTACAAAAGTAAACTAGTTCATAAACTAGAACCAGGCGATTATGCTAGAAGAATGTATTTCTTAGCGTCATTGTCCGATTTGTATAGCCAAGATGCAAATTTTCTCTCGAAAATTTTATGGGGCGACGAAAGTCGATTTCAAAATAATGGAATCGTTAATAGACACAACTGTCGTTTTTGGTCCGAAAACCATCCTCGTTGGATTACAGAAAGAGGTAACCAACGAATTTTTAGTATCAATGTTTGGTGCGGCATATTAAATGGATTCCTTATTGGACCTTACTTTTACGAAGGATCTTTAAATGCAGATCGCTATTTAAAATTTCTTCAAACTACACTTCCGGAACTATTAGAAGAAGTGCCTCTTGACACTAGAATGAATATGTGGCTACAGCAGAATGGAGCGCCTGCACATAATGCCCAAATAGTAACGAGGCATTTGAACCGAGAATATCCCAATAGATGGTTTGGTACTAATGGACCGGTAAGGTGGCCGGCGAGGTCCCCGGACATTACACCACCAGATTATTTTCTTTGGAGCTACCTAAAAAACGTTATCTATGAAGAACCTATCGAAGATATGGCTGATCTCATTACCAAAATTAGTGCAGCGTGTGCCGCTATCACAAGAAGGACTCTCCTACAAGTGACCCAAGCTCACCTGTTAAAAGTTTTTGATAGTGTTCGAGCAGATGGACATAATTTTGAACAAAATTTTTGAAATGTCTTATTATGTGGTTAATTGCAATAATAATTTTGGTTATTAACTTGTAGGTATTTTACTGTTTTTTCATTTATTTATCATGTTATCAGAACTAAATCGATAAAAAATAATAAATAAAATCATACTAAAATAGTTGAAATCTATTGTTTGTAATTGCACTTAAAACAACTGCGACAACAATGGTTGCCATAATAACTAACATTCATGGCATACTTGTAAAAATAAGCGTTAATCACATTTTTTATTAATCAAAAAATGTTTACTTTAAATCGGTATAACTTAGAAACGGGTAAAGTAAATAAGTTTGAGTAAATAACAAAAAAGTTTTTAAATAATATGTACTTTTGTATGCGCGTATTTCCAAAGTCTCTGCAATCGAATAATTTTTCGACCCGTCGCGACGCCCAGCTCTTTGCAGGCGTCGAATTTTTTAAACTTTAGGAAATATCTACTTGACCCCACACTTCGACTACTTTTTACATAAATTAAATATTATATATATATATATATATATATATATATATATATATATATATATATATATATATATATATATATATATATATATATATATATATATATATATATATATATATATATATATATATATATATATATATATATATATATAAAATTCGAGAACTCGAATTAAAACTCACTGGTCTCAAATCTACCTTAACAAAATTCTGTAACTTTTTACAAGGTTTTGTGGACATTCACTCGTAGTAGATATCTCAGAACTAACTTTAGGACTTGAAAAAACAGAGAATATTTTACAAAGTTTTGAATACATGCAATTCCAAATAGAACTTCTAACGGGTGAAATGACACCCCAAGAAGACGTACGCACAGAATGTGATAATAAATATTTCAAAGCTATATCAGACGCACGATCGATTATCGCGAAACATCAAACACTTGCCGTCGACAGCAGCGCGGCCGGCAATCGTCAATCGCAAGACGATGTCCAGAGTTCTTTTCAGGGCGTTGCGGATATTTCGAGTTCAATTAAGTAATTAAGTTAATCTTGTCGAATTTCACGGAACATATAGTCAATGGCTAGCATTTTCCGACATTTTTAAGTCTCTTGTACATCCCAATGATCAACTTAACACCCAAAAATTTATTTACTTACGCTCTTACTGGCGATAATTATGCCACTGCATGGGAAATGTTAAAAGATCGCTATGAAAACAAAAAATTGATTATTCACACACACGTTAATGCCATTTTCAATCTAAATGCAATTAAAGAAGAATCTCACTCGCAATTAAGAATGCTCATTGACAATTTCAATAAACACATACGTGCGTTAATGAGGCAACCGACTGATTCTTGGAACACTTTATTAGTACAAATTTTATCTTCAAAAGTTGATACCGCCACCAAAGGTGAATGGGAACTCGAAATGTCCTATAATTTTGCAATTAACTGATTTTTTAACAAAACGATGTCAATTTTTGGAAACAATTGGCGACAAAATTCTAAGAAAATCAAATTTAAAAATTGGAAAGTCACTATCTTACGTTGTAACGTCAAAAACATCTTGCGCTTTTTGTAAACAAAATCATTTCAGTTATAACTGCGAACAAATCAATAAAATGCCGAGAGACGAACTTTGCGCGGAGGTAAGAAAAAACAGGTTGTGTTTGAACTGTTTACGGCCAAATCATTCACAGCAACAATGTAAATCCGGTAATTGCAAACACTGCGGTAGAAAACATCATTCCTTACTGCATATTTTTAGTGAAAAATTAGAAAAAGAGAGGGAGAGCGCGCGCACGTGCGAGGAAGAACGTGCTTAACGTTTTCGCGTTCGAACTTGGCATCGATAGCACGCCGATAGTGTTGAACCCCCAAAAGAAAAAAACTATTGACTCCCTCCGCATTGCGTGTGCCTGTGAACCACCTCCGCCGTACCGAGACCGTGATCCTCAAGATCGGAGAGGAGCTGCTATTGGGGCCCCAGTCCAGCGAGACAGCAGCGACAAGAGGTTAGTGCCGTCTCTACCGCCACGACCACGTCTTGCGGGCTCTGCTTAAAAAAAAAATACAGTCCGCTTTAAATTAACCTCAGGGTCGCGACGACCCATTTTGATCCTTCGACCGGGATGCCGGATGTTTCGCGCTTTCTATATTTTCAATATTTTACATGCTCATTTTCTGCATCATATAAAAGTCATAGTGTTCGCTTGGCGTATTTCGTTCAAAACATTTATTTGCGGGTAGGTACATAAATGCATCAATAGGTTAAATCCTCCGGCATATCGAAAGTTTTTTTGTTGGTAGATCCATATATAGATTATAAAAACAAGTGTTTGGGCGCACGGTTTGACCAAGGCCTACGATATCGCATTACGACCGTAGTGTTAATAACTTTTCAAAAAATTATCAAATAAAAAACGTTGGTTACTCCGCTTTGGTTTCTTTAACAAATAATAACAGAGTCGGTATTTGCCATTTTTTTGTTACATTTCCTGTCGATTAGTACTACTTACGTAGCCGTTTATTTTTTGGTGTCTAGTTCTTTTACAATTTAATTCGAAATGACCGAAAAATTGAAAAGGCTCGTAATGAAATGCACTGCTGCTCTTAATCGGTTAAAGGAAACCTACGAGGTCGGGGTAAAGGTCGAGACCGATCCTTCAAAAAAAGTTCAATTTTTGGTTCGTGCCGATGAGTGTGACGAAATGTACGGTGAATTCGGCAAGTCTCATAATTCCGTAATTATGTTGCTTGCCGATGACGCGGAATTCGAGGAACACGATGCCGTCTCTACCCTCACGACCACGTCTTGCGGGCTCTGCTTAAAAAAAAATTACAGTCCGCTTTAAATTAACCTCAGTGTCGCGACGACCCAACCATTATATTTTAACATTTAAACATTAGAGAACACTTAGTAACGAATCCGGTGTTTATTTGAACGACATATTCCACATTTTGGTGCCGAAACCCGGGAAGTGTTTGAGTATTGGAATTAACTTGGAACGAAATAATATTTGGAAAATGGAATCAAAAAACGACGTGTCTTTACGTAAAAATTATCGCGGGCAATTAACGAAGTTGTGCAAGGCCGGAGATGAGGCCGTAAATTCAGCAGAATCTTCACCGGACGAACTCTCAGTTTTGTGTGAAAAAATTAAACTTCTAAGAGTGACTTTGAACGAACTGAACGCGAAAATCGTGCCGATGTTAGAGGACAATTTCATCGAAATGGAATGTGACAAAGTGACAGAATATGACATTAACGCAGATCGAACGGAAAGCAGCTGCAGAACGTGGGAATTGGATACATGCGAGACCCTCAGGATATCTCTCCGATTCCAGAAATGAGTATTGGTAACGTACAATCCCAAACCAATCAGAAATCGGTAAGATTACCCAAACTTGATTTATTAAAATTTAACGACGACCTGGAAGCATGGCCAGCTTTCTGGGAGCAATACAGTCAAGCTATACATAATAATTCTGAGCTAAGTATGAACTGCAAATTTACTTATTTGAAGTCGCTTTTAGCGAGTAAGGCGGCTCTAACGATTTCGGGCCTAACATCTAGTGAAAACTCATATAATGATGCAATCGATTTATTAAAATCGGAGTACGGACAAGCGGAAAGAATTATTGACTGTTACGTGCAAAAATTATGCGGTATTGCGTCGGTAAAATACGACAAAGATGTTAGTGGATTACGTTGCTTGTACAACACGGCTTCTTCAATAACGTGCTCGGTGGAATCATTGGGCATATCAGCTGATCAGTATGGTTTAATGTTCAAATCCATGATTTTTAAAGTTTTACCGTACAATTTGCGAGTTCAGTTTAATAAAATTAAAATACAGAGTTTTTCTAACGAAACTGAATCTTCAAATGTGTGTCGGTTAACGCAGAGTTGGGCTCAGTGAACTATAAAAAACAGATCGCAGATTTATTAAATTTTATTGTTTAAGTACTTATATTAGTTTGACGGATAAAAAGAAACTTTTGCAGGACAGTAACAGATGTTTTCGTTGTACTGGGCAAAAGCATAGGTCAAAATTTTGCAAAACAAAAGACATAACGTGCAAAAAGTGTAAAGGGCGACATGTTACTGCCTTATGCGACCCTTCATACAAACCAAAAACAAAAAATGAAAGTCAAAATGAACGTAACGACAGCTCTAAAGAACAAGCAGCTGTAACTGTATTTTCTGCAGGACGTCTCGAAAATGTGTATCTACAAACTGCGTGTGTCTTTGTAAAATCGAATGAAGATAAAAAAGAAGTATTATTACGGGCGGTTTTTGATGCAGGATGCCAATTAACTTATATAAAACAATATGTTTCACGGCAACTCAACCTACCAATTATCGGAAAGCACAAGATTTCAATTTGTGTCTTCGGAAGTTCGCAACGCGGTGTTGCCAAACTGTGCAATAAAGTTGAAGTTGTTGTAAAGAGTCAGTATTCAGATAAGTTAATTACAATACATGCAGTTGAAGCTCCCGAAATATGCTTCGATTCGATTAACCCCCATTCTCTTACCGATCCAGTTATCGAAGATTTTGCAAAACAAAATCAGTTAGTGGATATTCAGACAATGCCTTTAGAAGCAGCAGGAATATCGTTGCTTATCGGTAGCGAAAATTATTGGATCTTGGAGCTATAAAAACTAAAGTAGGGTGGACTATTCACGGTGCAAGAAAGTCTAACTAAATCAAAGAAGGAGATGTTGTACTTTTACAAGACCAGGACAGACCGCGTTTGACCTGGAAGCTCGTGGGAGTTACTCAGACATTTCAAGGACGCGATGGAAAAGTAAGAGCGTGCGAAATAAAGACAAGTACCGGTGATAAGCTGAAACGTCCAGTGCAGTGTTTATATCCGTCGGAAATCGATAATTTCGCGGCCTGGGAGGATGTTAAAAAACAGTAACTTAGTGACGGAGTGCTATGCGAATAAACAAACAAAAATCGAGAACGCGACGCTAGATTGACTTTTGAACGTTTGATAATGTTAGTGTATCACTTTTGAAGTTGTTTTTAAGAATTACGTGTTATTTTCCGTTTTCCACCATTATATTTTAATATTTAAACATTAGAGAACACTTAGTAACGAATCCGGTGTTTATTGGAACGACATATTCCACAATCTGAAAACCGACAATAATCAAAATCACGCAAAAATTAATTTACATTGTTAATCAGACAAAAACTCTACCCAAGTAATCTTGTCCACCGCGGTAGTTAATGTATCGGATAAATATGGTAACGCAATCCCTGCGCGCGTGCTTTTAGACAGCGCCTCCCAGACCTCATTTATGACTAATTCGTTCGCTAAAAAATTAAGATTGAAGACGTTCCGAATTGAGATCCCGGTTGCCGGAATCAACAATTCTATAAGCAAAGTTGAAACTACATTTTTGTCGATTCATGAAAAATACAAGCGCAATGAAACATTTTTACTTGTGGATAAAATAACTGAAAATTTGCCGTTATTCAATTTTGATATTTCCATATTAGAAACAAACCAATTGAAAAATTTTGGGAACTTGAACATTGTGGGGATGTAAAAAATTTATATTCTCACGAAGAAAGTCTATGCGAGGAACATTTCCTCCAGAATTATAGTCGCGACGCACAGGTTAGATTGCCTCTAAAAGATATTTATATTAATTTAGGCAATTCCCAAAATCAAGCAATTAAACGATTTTACGGATTGGAAAGGCGATTGCAGAAAAGTGAAAAACACAAACGCGAATATACAGAATTTACGACACAATATGAAAAATTGAGACAGATGGCGGAGATCGACAAAGAAGCTATTGACCAAATTCTAAATTTTTATTTAATACATCACTTAAATTTCGGAAACACAACGTAGTCCTCACTGGGGATATAGAAAAAATGTATCGTCAAGTAAAAATTTGGGAAGACGATAAAAATCTTCAGCGTATACTTTGGCGAGACAGTCCCAATAAACCACTGAAACATTACGCATTGCTTACCGTTACATATGGCGCAAAACCGGCTGGATTTTTGGCTATTCGTTCTCTACAACAGGTCGCTTTTGAAAATATGGAAAAATTCCCCGATGCAAGCAATCCGATTTTACGAGATTTTTACGTGGACGATTTAATAACAGGTCGGGGCACAATTGAAGACGCCATAATATTACGTAAACAAATAACAGATATTTTGAAAACAGCGGGATTTCCATTGCGTAAATTCTATTCGAATCATACGGAAGTTATCGCGAACTCTGACTTCGGAACTTCCGATCAATATTTAATATCTGATGACGAAATTTCTAAAACTTTAGGATTATTTTGGAATCACCAATTTGACAATTTAAAATTTAATATAAATTTAGACTCCTTTGAAGTGATAACAAAACGTCAAATTTTATCAACTGTGTCAAAAATATTCGATCCCTTAGGATTTTTAGGTCCAATTATTGTTAAGGCAAAATTAATAATTCAAAAACTCTGGGAATGTAAACTTGATTGGGACGAATCTGTTCCTGTTGACGTGCATACTCCGTGGAAAACTTTTTACGATCAATTGCCTTTCGTAAATAATATTGAAATTGTTCGTCAAGTTACGACACAAAATTACAACCAAATAGAAATACACGGTTTTTGCGACGCTTCAATCGTGGCGTACGGGGCGTGTGTCTATATTGTAACAGTTAATCCAGACCGCCGACGCCTTTCTTGCATTCGTAGCAAATCGTATAACAGAAATTCACGAACTGTCATAGAAATGTCAGTGGCGGCACGTCAGTTCCAAGAAAAACCCCGCATATATTTTATCTCGAGATGCAAGTCCACAGTAATTATTCGAATCTCACATTTGGTGGACTGGACCCTACTAGAAATTCCTGAAATTCGGAAGCCAACAATTGTGTCACTAATTGCTTTCCAAAATTTCGATGATTGAATATTTTCACTCACTTCAAATTTTTCAAAACTTATTAGAATGATTGCATATGTTTTACGATTTATTTCTAACTTGAAA